ACATTGTCTCACGTACAGCGAGCGAACACACAACGGGGTCCGTCGGGCCTCCGAGATCCTTGGGAGAAAAAGGCGGCCGGGCAAAGAGAGAGAAGAAAACGGGTTGTCGGTGCGTTTTGCGGTTTCGGCAACGTCGGCAACGGAACGACAAAAGGTTCGCCCCCTGCCTAACGACCTTTCGGTTTTCGTTTCACGGCTTATATACGAGTGGGGCTCTCGTGAAACCGAGCTGGTCTTGCCGTCTCTCTCGTGCCATCGTTTTCATTTCTCTCTATCTCCCTTCTCGGCCGGTGGTTCACGGTGGCATACGCGCCACGCTGTTTTCACAGCTTGCCGCTCTCTCTCTCTCTCTCTCTTTCTCTCTCACTCGGGGTAGAAACTCCCGTGAAAAACCTGCCCTCTCCGCCCCTCTCGCCCCGTCGGTCCCACCCTTTTTTTTTTAAGCTGATCCTGACTCCGTGAAATCCGTGGCGGCGTGCGCGTTGAACTGTGACCCCCTCGACCTCGCCGCTCGAAAAAATAAATCCCGAAATTCTGAGCCACTCGAGAAATGGGTCCCATCGGTCTTTGTAGAAATGCTCGAATTTAAAGGGATTTCGATGCCTCGTATTTATATGATATTAACATGTACCGTGTGTAACATATATATGTCGAGACTTTTGATCATTGACTGCGTTCGACAGAAAAAGTAGCTTTGCAACTGTTATAAAATCCTTTAATATAATTGGTTCTTGCTCTTAATTCCTCATTGGATCTATAAATGTATAAACCAATCATATTAAAAAATTTTATAACAGATGCAAGATTGCTTTTTCCGTTGAACGCAACCATTCTCTCTGAAATTCTTCATATTTTGCTTTAGAGAAAGCTTATCCAATATAATAATAATAATAATAATAATTCTGCAACACACACGGATATTCCTTCTGCTTCAATCGGCATCGAAACATCGGCAGATCGATCGGCTTTCCGGTTCTCCGATAAAACTCCGACAGAACGTCGAAGATCAGAACGGGCTGCTTCTTGACTTCGGGTCGGCGAAGCGGCGGGTCCGCGCGATAATTTATGACGGCCTCTCTTTCTCGCGAGCGGCGGATAAAATTATTTATCGACGGCGGTAACGGAAACGACGGAGGCGATCGTAAAACGCGCTCGCACGAGATCGAACGAGAGACCCGAGAGAAGACAGGGGGTCGAGTGAGGAAGAGCTGTCGCGATAATACACCCCTCTTTGGACAGCGGCGCCGCGTTCCGGTGACAGCGGTGCGGAGATCGATATAATGGAAGGCGATTGTGCGTTGACTTTGTTTGCACACCGAGTCGAGCGTGTGCCGAACGCGATTTCGCGCGAATTTTCGAGCCGCGATCGATCGCCGCGTGCCGCTGACAGCCACGTGCCACGTCGAAATCGCGGCGTAACAGCTCGCACGACGTATTTAGGCCGTACCGCTGAAGACCGAAACTTTAATATGCAGCCTTTAATACGTTTCTAAAATATTCAATTTTTTTAATTAACTGTATTTTATTAATAAAGAGAAAGAGGTTTTGTTAAGAAAATTTTTCTTTCGGATAACTTTGACATCTCAGAGTAATCTTAATATGATTATTACCTAAACACTATGTAGGAAATATTAGGAATAGGAATGAATACATCAGAAACATTGTATTCCGGTATAATTAATTTCTGATAGGTTAAAATGTTAATACTTATTTTTATTCCTTTGTGCGCGGGACCTAAGTCTTCAACTTATCTTTTTACGATTTTATAATATTAATTAATTTTTTAATAGCATTAGTCCTCCGCCGACGATGTTGGACTTTAAAGATGCGGTCGACTTTTTTATGTATTCTGATTAATAAATTTAAATCTATAAAAAATAAGTAAAATACAATTCGAAAAAGATTTCCGTTGATAAACTTATTGTTAAAGCACAAGTAAGAAGTTTTTTAAATTTTTATTTATAGTCCGGAAGAATATAAAAATCTACACTAAAATTCGAATATCCAAGTCGCGGATGAAGAGTGAAAATTTCGTATTACTAAGTTCGATTTGTTAAAACATCAATATCAATAAATATCCATACCCGATAATATCTATATCTGATATAAAAAAAGGTTATGTTAATACGTGTGTATAACATATAGGAGAGACCGGGACAAGTTGTTCCATGAAGTAAGTTGTTACAGTTAGGTTTTTTAGTTGCCACAGGTGGCAGCACACTTTTATGAATTTTTATATGTGATTACTGATTCTTATTATACTCTACAACTTTACTTAGTTTAGCCGTCGTATTTCAATTCTAGAAGATGCTACGTATATTTTCTTGATTTTCACTATTAAAAGTAAATATTTCATTGTATAAATCGCTTGTGTTATTTATATATAAGTTACAGATATATATGTGTGTATATTTCTTTTATATACATTTGATTATAATAAGATATTTTGTTTGAATCGATATATATACTGGTTTTCAATCTGTATTTTTTTTAATTGAAAATGGAAGGTTGGGGCAAGTTGTTACACTTCGATCGGAACAGGTTGTTACAGTGTAACAACTTACCCTATTAAAAACAATTTTTTTTTCTACAGAATAATGCATAGTTCTATAAATAGACTGCCAACTTCGTTTCCATATTTAAAAACAGCGCCATATTTGTGTTCATTCACTCTCACATGTATAAATCACACAGATAATAACGTTAATGTTTTCACATAAATTTATGCGGTATTCACAAACATAGGACGCATACATATGCATATGTGAACTGAAACAAAAACAGCTCGGAATCAAATTCATCTCTTTCTATCATATTGAGTCAGTAGTCTAATTATAAAAGTCTGTAGAAAAAATGATGCGATCTTACAAAAAAAAGACACAGGACCTATAAATGTAGAAACGTATGCAACAGTGGCAAAGAAAGTTAAAGATGGCCACCTGTCTGTGAGAAAAGCAGCAAATGCGCGTAATATTAATTTTATGACTTTCCAACGTTAACTTTAATAACTAATTAAAGAAAAAATTTTGTAATAATGTATTTTTTTAATTTTATATTATAAAATAAATATTCCTTGTGAAGTATTTCTTGTTTGATTTCATTGTAATCTTGAATTTGCTTATA